AGGACTTAATACTGGTGTTTAAAGATTGACACAGCAATGAGAGTTAGTTCAGGAAAGAGCAAAATTTCTTTATTATATCACCTGTAGTAATAGTTTCTGTACACATATTACACGTGTTTCGGGCTAGCATGCCCCTCATCAGCAGTACTACTACCACACACTAAAAAGTAACAATAATAAAACAAAATAAGTAATTGTAAAAGTTAAAATTTTTTACATAGCCATAAGAATAATGTTAAAAACTTACTATAAATACATATTCCAAATACATTTATACTCGGGTTTAAAATATGTATTTACAGTAAGTTTTTAACATTATTCTTATGGCTATGTAAAAAATTTTAACTTATACAATCACTTATTTTGTTTTATTATTGTTACTTTTTAGTGTGTGGTAGCAGTACTGCTGATGAGGGGCATGCTAGCCCGAAACACGTGTAATATGTGTACAGAAACTATTACTACAGGTGATATAATAAAGAAATTTTGCTCTTTCCTGAACTAACTCTCATTGCTGTGTCAATCTTAAAACACCAGTATTAAGTCCTAATAATAAATAATGTCCAAGTAGACAATTAACAAAATAATACTTCACAGCAATTCGATACAATAACTATTTTATCCTTGATTTTTTTACAGAAATGAAACTCATCATATAAATTTTAGATTTCTGTGCTAGCAACTTCATCAGTCAGCAGTAATTTTCAAGAACAGAGATCTACAGTTGGTATAACATTTGGAGCAAAATCTTTAGATAATATGCTGAACCCTTGCAAACACTGTAAGAAAGGTTTTTCTAGAGAAAATTTAATTTATAGAAAATTAAAAATTATTAGTTTGCAGATGATATCTATCGCCAATTAGCAAAAACCTCAACAGAAAAGTACACTACAACTATAACCAAATAATAACAAAATATAAAAATAGATGATTTATTTAGAAATACTGTGTATACGGAAATGTATGATGATTTTTAATCATATTTTTAATTTATTTAAAATATGTGCTGTTCATCTCGAATTAGTAGTGGCTTGTTCTACCTTTCATGTTAGTACCATAGTCGTGCCTGTCGTGTATCTATTTTAATTCAGAAAATTTTAATTTCAAATAAACCGGAGGGACATAGCGTTTCCAAATATGTTTTCCCTTTTCTTTCATCTCATGAATATCTTGAAATTAAAGAGAAACAAGCATATGGACAGACAGCTCACAGTGGGAAAATTTATATGTAGAATTTTGGGAAATTGCACTCCAATAAATGAATTTATTGATAAGAGGAACTGCCAAAACAAAACTGAACGTCAAAACAATAACATTGCTTCATGGAAAAGTTTTAAGTTATGTTATCTTATACTATACAAGCAGATAAGCCCGGCGTTGCTCGGGCAAAAAGTAACGATAGCGAAGATTAAAATTATTACATTACAGTCAATCTTACCCGTTTTCACAGAATATAAGAATTATGTCTTCCTGTTTCCAGACTAATTAAAAAATTTTAAGATGGATTTAAAAAATATGTTCGATTTTCTGCAAAAACGCAAAAAATCGCATCTGAGCCTGTAAATCTTGCTCGCCACTTTCTCTTAACACTTCCATTGTTACTCAGCACTTCCATTGGCAATACTTCCATTGTTAAGGAATACACTTCTTTCATCCCACGTGGTACGCGACTAAATGCTGTAGCCTACTAAAACTCAGTCAATAACGCAAAAAAACGCATCTAAAATAGTACAATAGAAGGCGAGTTCTTCAGGGTAGGACTTAATCCTCCCTCTCCCCTTGGGGGAAATTTCGAAAAATCTCTTCTTAGTGTGCGTTCTCGTGACGTACTCTAACTGTCTGCCAAATTTCAACTTTCAACTCCTAATCGTTTAGGCTCTGCGCTTATTAATAATAATAACAATACTAATAATAAGCGCATCAACCCATCTCAAATATATATATATATAGATTCAGTTTTCGCTACGAAGTACAGTACAGTGAATAATCGGTTAATTAACAGACATAATCTGTTCCAAGACAGTGTTCGCTACCAGTATTGTTCGTTAAGTAACTACTATCGATTTAGCATAGATTTTTATGGGAATTTGATTAATTCTTTCCGGAGACCCCAAAAACTAAATAAAAAATTATATACTTTTTTACTATTTTTATTTATATGTAATAATAAAAATACATATATACACAATTAAGATTCCTC